ACTTGGGCCCTGGCAGTATAAATGATGGCAGGTCAGTGGCACCATGGATGGAGGTGGAGACACTCTCTCTCTTTCCCCACCTCCGTCCCTCTCTCTGTCTCTCTTCCCTCTGTCCTGTTATCATCAGTGTGATGGAGACATCATCATCATCACCTCCTGGGAGTATAAATAGTGCTGGATCAGGTGACAGTGCCGGCCCTGGCCTTTGATGGGAGCTTTAATTTCATGCCTAATTTCTCTCAGCACAGAGAGGATCGATGCTGCCCTGCTTGTGCTCCCCATCCCTCTGCTCCCCTCTGCTGCAGAGATGGAGAGCAAAGAAGGACAAATGTTCTCTGCTGAGTGATGTGCATTCACAGAGACATTTAGCTTACCTGTAAACACATGTATTTACTGACATCCTTCAAAGGGAGCGTGACAAATAAATGCCAAGTCGCGACACACATGCAGAGATCCGTTCCTGCACCCACTGATGACTTCAACAATCAATACAGCTGGAACAAAATGTTGGAAATAAGAGCAACAAGCAAACTATAACCACACAGCTTCCCACCTGTGTTGTGTGTGTTATACATTGCCATGGTGATAAATTTAAGCCCTCTGTCCGCGTTGCAGCCCCAGGGAGGCATTGAACTCTAGCCCCACCATAATGACTTTGTCTACCTATCGATCCAGCTATGATCCATGTACTGTAATTCTTTTATCATCAGCCTCAGCCCCAGCAATAACTCCAAGTCATATTTCGGGCCCTCCCGTCCACTTGACAACTTAATGATGCAGGGGTCCTTGCCAAGTTTGGACTTTCAACCCCCACCCACCCTTTTCCTCCTGCAGGGCTCTAATTTCTCCTTGTTCTTTCAGACTAATACCAGCAGAGGCACAGAGAGGCTGTTCTCTCGGAGGACTTCTCTCTCAGAACCACATATCTTCTCCTCTTCACCTCTGTGTGCTTGCAGTATAGCGCAGGGTTAGAGTCTGGGACTGCAGTGCATCTGTCTCTGATTTGGAGCACAGCCCCTGCAGGCTGCTGAGGAGACTCAGCCGTCCCTCTTTAGACCCTGTTCTTTTTCTCCCTCTGAGCCGGGCCCATATTTCATTGTCATTTCAACCCTCTCCTCCTAGCCTGGATGTAATAGCGGGAGATATATGGCTCCCCGCTTCTGCAGCCTTCTGAGCTTCCTCAGCCTTTTATAAAACACTGTCAGAGTGACAAAACAGCAGCCCATGGGTATTCTGGCACAGATGCCCCCCTCATCCAGAGGCAATCTCTCAGTATCCTGTGCTGATCCTTTTAGCAAAGAAATAACATCTGGGTCCTTGGACAGGGTGGGTGTGAACAGTCATCCCGGACAGACTGTAGCTCATCTCTATCGGTCTGTGTGCCTGCAAGCGATAGGCTGTCTGTCAGCTCTGTTTTTATAAGTGCTGATTTAGAGAGCTTTGAATCCTGAGCCAATAAGGACCAGAGGAGCATGATGGACTTGATACCTCTTATCACGGAGCTTCAACCTGTCAGCGCTATAATCTGCTCACATGTTTTATAAGCTAAAGGGAAAGAGTAAGAGATATGGAGCTTTTGATAGCCAGTGTTCTACCTTGCCGCAGAGACTAATAACTACTTAAACGTCAAAGACAAGGCCCTGATTGAGATGTGAGGAGAAGGGGGGAGGAGGAGGAAGCAGATGGGCTCTGCAGACAATTAAAGCTGCAGGTTCACTTCTTTTTTCTCCACTTTGTTCCTGTCACTCTCCTCATTCTCAGTGACATCCATCCTCTTCATATGCGTCTACCTCACATTTCCTCCCCTCCCTCTCCATTCCCCTTCACAGCCACCTTAGTCATTGCTCTCCATCCTCTCACTCTCTCCTAAGTGAGACACACAGTCACTATCTCCTCTCCTCTCCTCTCTTCTGCGCGCCACATCTCTCTCCCTCACCCATCCGCACCCTCCCTCCCTCCCCCCAAGTCTTAATTGGGAGTCAGGGAGAGCAGTGGAAATCGCATTAACGCGGGCCCTGCCTGGGTGTGCCATCCATCTTCTTTTTTATTACGCCGCGCCGGGGCTGCCTGGGCCCTGCCGTTCGATTTGTCACCGGCCTCGTTCGGTGATAACAGGCATTTGTCATCGCCTTGCCTCCCTGTTAATGTTATCATCTCCTCCCTGACAGCCGCCCTCCGCCGGGGAGCGCCGGCGACAAAGCACATCCGTCAAGCGAATATTTCCACGGCTAAGGGGACCGCACACTGCAATAATCCACATTAAAGCACTTATGAAGGGTGCAGGCCGAGTGTGTGTGTGCGTGTGTGCGCGAGCGTGTGTGTGTGCGCACCGGTGCCAGGATGAGGCGCACTGAAGTGTGCGCTGCGTGCGCATAGACACCAGCTTACTCATTGTGGCACGCTCGTCAGTGCCGTAAAAGAGGCGAGGTGGGGGCCGACAGGGAGAGGAAGAGGTAATTTGTTGCAATTAATTACGCAGTGAGTGTGGCTTTGTTGTGTGGGAGAGCATTTTATCTGTTGGAATGCTTCCTTCGCCAGGCTGTGATGCTATTTGTTTGATTTATAGCTTCTGCCTGCCTAAGGCGGAGTGAGCCTGCGCTTGAGAGTGTGTTTTCACACGCGCACAATCCTGTGGCATTATCCACAGAAATATACTGTAGTCTCAGTGACAAGGAGCCCTTTGTTTGGTAGTGACGTTACATATGAACAACCGCAAAGCCTCTGTTTGTCCTCTCAGGACTGAAGCTCTGCTGTCCATTTGTCATTGCGCAGCAAATCAACAACTCCAAAGGCTGACTCTCCATCACCCAGGCGTGCCTCACCTTCTCCCCCTCCTCTCCCTCCTCCTCCTCTCTGTGACAGGAAGCCGTATCTGAGAGTTGTGACACCAAAAACCCTGAACAATACGCATGTGATAAGCTTATGTTTCTCTCACTGGCCTGCTGAACCATCTTCTCTCCTTTCTTCTGTGATATCAGGGCAAAATCAGTACAAAATCAATCTATTCTGCCTCTGCCGGGGGTTTAGAGGGGCCTTGCTCAGGTGCTGACAGATGAATCCGCCAGCCTAAAGGCAGTGGTAGGAAATGGAAGACAGAGGAGTGCGAATATCTACCATCATCTTGCTGTTTTACTCCTAAATTTGCCACACACACAGTAAATTTGTCACATGCTGTGAAATGGCAAGTTTGCAGCCCTGACAGACAGAAGACTGCAGACAGTATGATAGCAGTTTCAGATACATAATGGAAGCTGTCATTTGATTTTTTTACACTTTGATCACATTGGACAGAATTAGACCAATAATCAGTCTCTCTTATCAAGCCTTCATCTTCAGTCTGTGCCATTTAAATGTCCAGACAGAACTGTAGCCATCCACTAACAGACAGTGTAACGATACGTTTTGCAGGAACTCAAAGAGATGTTGTGGAAGAAAAGAAAAATATGATTCCTACTTGAGATTTTGAATAGAAAATGTATTTTGTGAAGGAAAAATGGGAGGAGAAATGATCAAATGTCACTGGGTGTCATTGAAAGATAAATTCCATCCAAATGTATTTATGTATAAAATACATTTTGAAACATTAAGAATAGATTTTAGTGCAATACATTCAGAAAACAAGAGCGTATACAACGAGTAACTAAAATAATCAAGTGTTAAAACCAAGAGGAAAGGATGAAGAATTGAAAGAAGATGTTGAATAATGTAAAATCAGTGCATCACTCTGTGTATGCAGTCCAAAGAAAAGGCTCTCTCAGGTCTGTTTGGATACAATGAACTGCAAACTGTCGTAGAAATATATTTAATTTTGCAGGTAGTTTCAAAATGAGAAATAAACTATGTGCACTCCCACCTCAATTTCATTGACACCACCTATGTCAAATGTTGATGAAAACAAAATGTAATCATTTGTCATTAAAATCATCAGATTTCAGATAAGTGTTCTGATGACAGCTTTTCCTTTTTAGATGTGATGTTAGTAATGGTGGCTGCCCAGACGCATAAACAAACCAAGCCAAGTCCTTACAAGCCCCACATCAACTTCACTGGCATTGGCGTTTGTACAAAAGATACTCACTAAACTCAAACAAACTCATGCTTGTATTTAGATCATAATGTATTTTACAAACATTGTGTACCTTACTCTTTCACTAATCACCCAACTGGTAAAGATACTTGATTCTGATTGGTCAAAACCCTGCAACAATGGTAAACAATTCTCAGTCGCACATCATACTAAAGTGTAATGGAGTCCAGCACAGTCCACCCTGACTTGTTGATATTAAAATTTGAAGTCAGTGAGTGAAACAATAATGAAGGACACTGGATCCTCTCCTGCCATCCAGACGCTGGCAGGAGAGTCGTTGAGCGCATCTCCAAATTGCTGATTGTGGTAGTGACTGTAGCAACTATATTAAAATCGGTATTATATATCAGGTGGTTCGTAGGTGTAGTTGGTAGCCGAGTAATAAGTGGGATAATGTACATTGAGCAGGTGTGTGTAAATTTGCATAAGCCTCTGTGCACTACACATTAACCCTTACTTGGAATCCAGATAAGGTGGGTGGGATGTTAATGTGAAGACGGAGATTTTGTCTCACTGTGAAGAGTTTATTATCTGGCTGTTGTTTAATGAAATTCACAAGCTGGAATTTGTTAGTGTGGTGTTTTGTGGCGTCTAAAGAAATTAAAAGCATCACCATAGTACCAATCAGAGTTTCAGTAAGTATAAAACAAAGCAGCATAGGGAGAAGTTGTAAGTCTCACTCTTAATATGCAGCTTTCAAGATGCATAATATCCAATTATGAAAGCTTCTGGCAGCCTTTTATTCATCAGACTTTGACTCAACTTCAATCCCGTATGTAGTTAGGTCTTATGACTGGCTTTCAGAGCTTTGAGGCTAAAATTGCTGAACTGCTGGCAGCTCAGCTAAAAGGAGCAGAAAGTTTATATAAGACTGGAAAAAAAGCTGCAAAGTGACAAAGAAGAAAGAGACAGATTTTCATGTTCAAACATTTGTCTATTTGAGAAAAGTCTTCACTTCACATTTCTGATCTCATTGACTCTATGATATATTATACAAAGAGGTCTTTTAAAACATACAGCAGTTAAAAACTCAGTGAACAAAGTTGTAGACTTACTAAAATGAGATATAATGATAAATAAAAACTCTTTTAACAAGCTTTACGTACACGCGCATATACTTGGACACGACATATGAAATGACTACTACAGTAGCCGTTGATATCCAGCTCTCTTACAGAATAAGAGTCACAAAGGAACAATCTGAAGGACAGAAAAACAAACACGGGCTCCAGCTCTTTGCTACGCCATTTAGTCTGACTGAGCTTAACACTGTAAACAAAAAGAAGTAGTACATATGGCATAATCGGTGACAAATCAGGCTAGACTGATGAACACAGCTCGAGAGGTGTTATCATCGTCACTACATTAACATAGTCACTGTATAAAACACTGAGGGGTTCAAGATTGACATTGTATAATGAAGAGATTAAAGGACGTGTTCACACAAAGTGATCCAAAGATCTGGGGACTCTCATAAACAGACTCAGCTCCCGTAAAGTTGTTCTAAGATGCAGAGAAACTGATTAAAATGTCACTGATGCTCGATTTGAAACGCATGACCACGGGTCTCACACATGATCTCTGCCTCAGATGTCGTACAGGAGCAACACTTCCACTGTGAATTAAGAGCTGAAATAAGTTTGTGCACTGAGAGAGTGATTACTGTTGGAGGAGATGCACTGGTATCTGTAGTTTTGATATGGAGCAGCAGATGCCCCTGTGGCGACGAAAGTTCTACCTGATCTCTGCTAAAGCAGCGGCAGTCACTAAGAACCAATAAGGCACACCGAGACAGGAGGCCATCATTTATCTCCTGACTTCCTCTTTCTTTTCTACAAGGGCTCCATAGCCGTTTATCATAGCCATCTTAAGAATACTGCTGGTGGACAACTCCTCCTTCAAGATGTCGTTCTTGGTGGCAAACATCTGGCTGATCTCCATAAAGGTTTTGTTCTTGGTCTCGGGGATAATGAAGATGGTGTAAACGGCCACTCCCCAACAGATCGCACAGAAGATCAGGTAACAGAAAGGACCTGTAGCAACCTGTGGGAGGAGGAAGACACAGTGAATTACTCCACATGAAATGATCGGCTTTACTGTCTTTTTAGATTTCTAGCTTTACTGTCTTTTCAGCTTTACTAGCTTTAGTTTTTAGCTGTGCTGTCTTTTTTAGCTTTCGTTATACTTGTACTCTTTTCTTTATTTTAACCTTTTAGCCCTTTTATTGTTTTATCTCTTGCTCTCTTGCTTTTATATTTACTGTCCTGTTTCCACTTTCGACTCCCTATTAATTGCATTTTCTTTTTTCTTAACTATTTTATATTTTTATTTTGGTCCTCATGGTCCTATTTTATGTTGCATGGTTCTCGTATTGTCTGGGTTCCTTATGACATGAAAATGACCTTCAGTTCCATTTTAACTGAGATTTTTGTTTCTATTTGTCTTTTCCATGCGCTTTATGACTATATGTCAAAGCACTTTGTAAATTTCTGTTTTTAAAAGTGCTATAAAAATAAAGTTATAATTATTAATATTATTATACTGATGTGGTTTAAAAGAAAATAATTTCGTTCATCGCCCAGTGAAAGAAACCGCGACCTTTAACCTCAAAATGATTACCTTTGCAGCAGAAAGACACAAAATCTGTGCCGAGATAAGCTGACGATGAAGCTCACTAGAGATGTAACCTACTTTTTCTCTCACATATAAATAAGTCAAACATATTATTGCCAGGTGAACCTGCAATCAGTTTTCTTCTTCATCAATTGTCCAATCTGGTTCCCTTTAAAAGAATGGGAACAAAATAATTACATCTTGTGCAACTTTTTGAAGCATTGGGAACAAATTGAGAAGACTAATGACTATAATGTTTTTTATGTTTGCTCTTTTGGGGATGTTTTCAGGCAGAAAAATTACATATAACACGTTTTTACTCAGATTTTTTTTAGTTTTTGACTGTCTAGGGGCAGCACTTTATTAGCTGTAATTCAAAGCATCAAAATGAGACTGTGGCCCCCTTTATGAAGTTCAGCAGAGACACTATAAGCATCCAGTGGGCTCCTGGCTGATGTATTCACATTACATGTTTCCTTTATTATCATTATCTGTCATTTGCAGTCGTGTAAGAAGTGTTATCAGCTTATACGCTGAGTTCTTTTCAGAGGTTTGTGGAGGACAAGGACATTTAGCTTTGCTTTAAGACTCCCGGCTGATGGTGTTCACATTACATGTTTCCTTTTAAGATAACCACAAAGGGTATGATGACTCAACTTTGTCCTTTTTACTGTGTCTGTCTCTGAATGAATATTGTATGCCAAACAGCCACATTGTGGTGGAATTCAGCTTTTCACAGACCTCAAGGAAAGGAAAGACGAAGCCGATGGTGAAATTTGACAACCAGTTGAGGCAGCCGGCCACAGTGTAGGCAGCTGGTCTGTGTGACTGCTTAAAGAGCTCTGCAGTGATCAGGAAAGGCACTCCAGCTACACAAAAAAAGACAAAAAGAGGGATTTATTATTTCAGAAATGGAAACATTTAAGCACAGGATCCTCATTTGTTCAGCTCTGGTTCAGTTCACTTTGGTTCGTTATTGCTCTGAACTAACTAGGTCTCCTTTCCAGCTGTCATATAACAAATCACATTTAAACACGCGGTACAGCAGTAAGAATCTATGGGGTGTTGTGAAATTAACATTTGCATCTTCATTCATCTATTACTTAATCAATAATCCTACTCAGGACTGCTCTTTGGCAGTCATTCAAAATAACTATTGATATCACTGTGCTATCATACAGCCTTTCTTTTTCTGCGTCTTCTCCGTCAGGTGTCCATTTACACTCATCTGAGACTGACTGAGAAGGAGAAGTTTTTAATTTCTGCTAAAGTTAGACTCTAAAGCAAACAGAACACCCCATTCAGGATTCCAGCCATAATTCATTGCTTTGATATGCAGGATCTGTGAGACGTTCCCTTAGCTTTAGACTCATAACTCTTCATTGTTAGAAGTGAGAGCTATGAAGGAGAAATATGCATTAATATGCTCAAGTGATGAGCTTTTCAAATGATGCCCTCATTATCTGTGCATGATAATTGCATAGAGGAAGGTTTAATATCGTCAAACCAATAACTAAGGCATAATTTGTCAACATCTGCGGTATGTACGGGGGGGAAGGGGGGAGGTCATTGTGCATGCAAGGTTTCATCTGAAGGAAACCATATTCATGCCAGCTAGCTTACGAACAATGAGCCATTAAAAGTCTAATTGCAGCAGCAGAAATCCTCATACGCGAGCACTGGTATGGATTCTGTTGGCTTGACAAATGGCGCTATGTAAACCACATTCATTCTAATTCATCATCCTCGCAGGTCCACTCGATGTGCCTCCTAAAGTTGTAAACTATTGCCTCTTAATTCACTTCACTCATCCAGTCTACAAATGGCCGCGGGAATGGATGTAGTGTGGCAGTTATGATTTGCTAATTTACAAGACTAATGAAATACAATATCTCTTCACAGTCAGGAGGATTACGGGGAGATAGGGCTGCTGCTGTCAATGTTTGGTACCTGCTATTGTGCAAGCCTCCAGCAGAGAGCAGTGTAATCTAAAACACCAGGCAGAGCAAAGCCAAAGCTGAGTGTAAGGGTAAGAAATGATTTAAAAAAAAAGAGACATCTGAGGAGCAGAGTGAGCAGACCGAGGTCTTACCTGGACCTATGCAGAAGCCAGCAATAATCCCGATGACACAGCCCACACTGATGTACCGCATGAAGGGCAGCTCTGTCTGTGATTGGCCAAACACAAGTCATGAGTCTGAAGTCATGAGCTCAAAGCATTCAAACATTTGACATTATTATGAATTATTGTTGATTGGACTATAAAGATGACTGTAATTCTCATATTGTGACACAATAATTGACAATAAGAGCTTCGATACTAAAACTTTCATCGCTTACTGAAATTACTCCAAGATCCCTTCCAAATTTAGCTCAGTATCATTTATAGGGTACAAAATCAAAAGATCTTTATCTGTACACAAATACAATATAACATAGAGTCAAAATAAGGCTTCATCTGTCTGACCTAACTTGCACCAAATTAAAATCTTAAATTAATTACTGCATGGAAAAATGTCTGTTGAAATACAAAGACAGAATTCAACACCAGGAAGAGAATGGACTTTGTGATTTATACACTTAGTTTGTGTAACTCTGATTACCAAAGCCTCATTAACCTTTGAACATATTTTATACAGAATGCAGAGAGCAGCTTTTATCCTAAATCCTTACATCTGTATCGAAACAGGAAGAGATTACAACAGGCAAAGCTTGTTCCAGTGTTCATACGATAAAATCTTTCCGTCTTCATGCCAAATAAGATTTTTAAAAAAGAAGTGATTATGTAAATATGGTATATAAGCAGAGCACCAGGTGATTCTGTACCTGGTAGAGGATGGACACTGTGATCCCAATACAGCAGAATCCCATGAAGAGGAAGCCGCCAATCAACAGAGGCCTCCTGCCTAGACGCTCAATCGTGAAACACTACCAAAAGAAACACAGAGGAAATATTTTTTATAAACATGTAACAAGACATCTTATCAGGATGAAAGAGGAAAACAAGTCACAGTATATGATTACTGATAGAAGCCAACAATAAAGCCCAACACAAATAACACGACAATCAACTCTTAGACCTAATCTTGCTCTCTAACTTCCCCTGGTGTTACTTAGTGCGAAATGTCTTTTATAGATAAAACTACTGTGAAGTAAAAGTTATGGAAGTCTATGAAAACTTCTGGTTTCTGAGTTGTATTTTACAAGACCAAGCGTGTGGACCAGCGCCACATACCACAGTATCAATAGATCTTTTCTATGGCAGATAATTGGATTTGTCAAGACAGGAAAAGAAGATGGGAAACTAACTTCTTCATGACGGCAAAGTAAGATGTGAACTAGTGTGTTTAAAACCAGGTTCAGGGAGTGACTGAGCATTTTTGCCGTCATTGCAATCAAAGCATTTCCTTGCTTTAAAGAGGCAAAAATAACAGGAATAATGTCTATAACCACACACTTGTGCAACAGCATTACGACAATCCTCAACAATACACACTATAGAGAAGCCGACTGTTACAAACAAAAAGTAATGATCAGTCCAAAGAGGGGTGGAGGTGAGCGCTGTAGATTTATACAAACAATTTTCTTCTTACTTAACAAGTGAACATTTATTAAATTTACTAAGCGCATTATTAGGTAATATTCTGTTTATCCTTTTTTAATACAGTGACTAATCAGTCAAAGTCTGCGAATTAAAGATTTTAGTCAAATTACACTCACAAAGACACGTTCAGTAATTTTGTGTTATTTTGTAGTCCTCTTATAATAGAATCACTTACAAAACGGAGTGGAAAGTTTTTTTCTCTGCTTGTAAAATGTTGTATTTGTGCTTGTTTGATAGCTGTAAACTGCCATCAGTCATTATGAAATTATTTTCACCCTTTATGGTATCTTACTATGAATAAGAAATTCAATTAGTTTTCTAAATGATTGTCACATATTTAAAAGTTTTGAGACAAACAAATGACTAAGTAAACTCAAATCTTCAATGTATCTCCCAACCAAATGGCTGTTTAAACCTCATGATGGTGATATTTGCTTAAAAGTACGTTAATTATCTCATCTCTGTGTTCTGTTTGTGTAAAAATGCTCACTCACCCCTAACATCCCTGAGATGACCTCGATGGCACCAGTTCCCACTGTGGTGTACTGAATAGAAGGATCTGGGATTCCTGCGTCCTTGAATATTTCATTGGTGTAGAACCAGATCTGAAAATAAAATCAAGTCTTATAAACAAGATGAGTATGCAGACACACAAACACACAAACAGATGCTCCGATACAAAAAAAAAATGTCCCTCTCAGAATCAGGATCCAAAAAGACGATCTGCTTATTTGGTGTTTCCACTTGATTCATCATCGTGATCATCATCATAACGCCAACCATCACTCATGCATTTGAGATACAGCGTTTCATCAGTGTGGACTTCTGACAAGAGCTCCCCTTGAAATTAATTTGTGTATTCTCATTAATCACACTTTGCTGATGCAACATCCATCATTGATGAGGTGTGGACAAGATGGTAATTGGTGCAGTAAAATGCTGTCTTGTTGATTTAGTAACCATACATATACTATTTCATCACCATTTCAGCTCTGAAGTTTAATGCTCTTTGTCGAAGCAGATAAAAATACTCAAGTACATTTGTCAATAATTAAGTAAAGGCAGCAGTTTATTGTGTGAAAAACATTAATTATCTTACATAAGTTACACCACGTACTCATAAACTGTAAACAACCTTAAATCCTGTAATATTTTAATAGGATACAAACCACATAGAAAGGAAACAAGGGAAATACTGTCAACTCTCCGGACTGAAAGAATCACAGCTAAATGTTTATTTCCGAGAGTTCTAAGAATACTTAACTTGTTTTTCCAGTGATCTATCTCTATCCACACCTTTTGTTCTAGTTAAGCTGGGTAGGGTACGCAGGGCACCACTGGCATATTTGTCCTCAGCTCTGCGGGCCAAACTCGAGCTCTTTTAGGAAAAGCTGACTGATGTCCATTCAGTGTATTTGGGTGAGCAGCAAGGTCCTCTCTTGTATTACACAGCACCTCAAGGAACCTTGTTACCCCGTCTGAATCAACTACTCTGGATCCCTCAGACTATACCTGCAGTGTACCTGAGTCATCTGGCCTGTCATGCAGGGGCATGTCTCGATGTTTCTAACTGGGATGGCCAAACTGAGGCGCTAACTTTAGCAGACATGAAACAGACATTTGCATGAATTACTTTGATCTCTATCTGATCTACTTTGACTAAATGTCACCATGAGATGTTATATTCCTGTGTATTTTTAACAGCCATCTCCTGGACCTGCCGTATGTGTATGATTTAGATCTTGTTTTCAGCTGTCTGTCTTTCTCATTTCAAATATAGCTTTTATAATTGAAAAACATACATTTGTCTTTTTGTACCTCTCTTTGTTGGACTCACAGATATTTGAGGCCTTTCAGGGTTCGTCTCTGAACCTGCTGAGAGGAGAATACCCCACTGGGAACAACCACTTCTAAGAACCAGTGCTGGCAGGTCTTCCACAATACACAGATTAACAGAAACAGAGTCTGCTTTATTGCCAAGAAGCTTTGCAAGTGCAAGGGATTTATCTCAGTGCTTTAGCAGCTTGAAGATAAATTAAAATGAAACCAAAGTGAGCTGCTGCCCTTTGACTATTAAAAGACTAAAATATAATTATTATTATAACCTTTATTTAACCAGGTTTGTCCCATCGGGATCCAAGATCTCTTTTCCTGGCCAAGACTCGCAGCACATAAAGTTTCAACGCATAGTTAGATTAATTATATTGAATCTAAATACAAATAACAATAAAAATAATAAAATAGCAGTATAGGCAAATGAGAATCATTTAAAAATTCTACATAAATGTCTTTGGTGTCTGAACAGGGATGCAAAGTTAGCACAGGAATGCAAGATGCCGCTGAGGGACTCTGCAAAAGTTTACTGTTAAAACTGCAGAGACGATGTGCAGTCTGCAGAGATGATTATCCAAATGAAGTGTGTTCAATTCAAGGCGAAGAGTCAGATGATGTGACCTAATCAGATGGAGTCTTCATTCAAATGTGTTTGACTTTTGTCTGAAGTAGTAGATCCTGTTCTGTGGGTTTACACCATAGACTGTATGGACAACTTGGTTCCGCCTTCCGCCAGTATACAGATTTGAAGCCAAATTGCTCTCGGTATTTTCTGCCTTTTTCTCCACTTCCTGAAACCAACACTTGTGAAGTAAACGTTGTACGCATTTTGTGGGAGAGTCGCCAAGAGTCGCTGTGATGACACTCGACTCAAACAGTGTATCCCCCAGGTGAGCTACGCAATCTTTATACGCCCATGAACCCCCTAATAACGTTTTAAAATGGAGCTGTACAGCAAAAAGAGGACTTGAGCACATATCAGTCTTACAATAACTACATGTCAACATCGCAAGCAGGGGGGAGAAAAATGTATGTTCTGTGTTATAAATTTCTAAAGTTTGTCCAACTCCACAAGTATTGCTGGAGGAGGCGGGATTTATGACCTATACTGCAACCCATCAATAGAGGGTGCTATTCTTGGGGTGGCTTCACCCAGCGAGGACGAAGACGGCATCCATTCTATATACAGTCTATGGTTTACAGTAACAGAGGGGATGGTGAAATTTGGTCCTGCTGTTCCCTGCTTAGTCACTTATAGCTATGTACGATGTGATGAATGGACAGGAAGAGGTGCAGATAAGTACAAAAATGGTCAATGTGGGTGACAGAATGGACACAATGTATATCACACTTACTGCATCAATGCCAGACAGCTGCATGCTGATGTTGACCACTGAAATGGTGATGACCTGCCAGCGAACACAACGGTCTGTGAGAAGGCTTCGAACAGAGACTGTTTCAACAGAGGACAGAGAGCGCTGCTCCTCCTGCATCTCTTCAACCTCCGCCTGGATGTTTCCTTTAGTTCGGAACCATGTCAGAGCTGAAAGACAGAAATGAAAGATTTCACCCTTCCAGAGAAATAGTTTGGAACATAGTTTAAAGCTGCGTTTGAGTTACCTTGGAAGTCAGAAATCCAAGCTGAAAATGACATCACACCCGAGTTACCAGAGTTTCAGTTACCAAGTCGGAAAAAAGTTATCTTAGCGTTTGCCTTGTCCGAATATAAGGCAGGCGCTAAAATAACTTTCGTAGATGAAGCCATCTTGTTTCAGGTCTACGATTTTGCTTTTTCCAACTTGGTAACTGAAATGCTGGGAACTCAGTTGTGACGTCATTTTCAGCTCCGACACCTGACTTCCAAGGTAACTTGAACACAGCAAGGTTCAAGTCAAAACTTAAGATATCAATATTGTACCTACAGGGAACCGAATGCACTCAAGTGGCAGTCAGAACAACCCACACATCCCTTACACACTGAATTATTCTATTTCATTAGATGGATAAGAAACAACAAAGAAAGAGTGCCCTTTTTTTACCTTCGATGGTGGCATGAACATTTCCCTTCTCTATCAACAGGTACCGTGGACTCTCTGGAAACCATGGCAACAGCAGCAACTGCACTAAAGTAGGAAACACTATCAGGGACAGAAGCATCGGCCAGTGGTCCCTCTGTGTGGAGAGGTAAAAACATTACCTTATTAGAGCCTTCTGAATTTATTTAAGAAAAATTGAACCTAATCAGTCGTCAGTTTCAGCAAATTCATACAGTCATGAGGATGTGGTTTGGGGAAAAAAAACTGTCTATGTAAAAAGTGCACAACTTTAATACCCCAACTGTTACATAAAAGAGCATCCACGGACACGTGGCAAGAGATCATGAGACATGAAATATCAGGAGACACAACAAACAGATAACAGAATCAAGTTGTACCCACAGGGGTCTTAGTTTAATCCAGATGACCAGTGAATGAATTCTTCAGAGTTCTCTATTTGATTTAATGCAACAAAGTTAGTCGTCTTGGCTGCTATCTTGACAAGGAGGTGGGTGTTGTGTCACCACCAAACAGTGTTCCCCATGCCAGATGGGATATAATCACTCCAGTGTGTTCTGGGTCTGGGTTTGACAGGCCTGGACCAGCACTGTGTCAGCTCTCTCTGTGAGGCTGAGCGAAGCCATTCTTCAAAAGAAAATTAATTTCGGCCGCATGTATCCACAGTCTCATCCTTCCAGACACCACCCACTGCTCATGTCCACAGTGAGGGTTGGAACTATCAGCTATCTATTGGTTATCCTTTGCTCCCTCTTTGCTGCAATGATCTGGCCTACATTGCTGCTGGCGTCGCACTGACAGGTCTGTCCATCAATCATGCCTATCATGATACAGTTTACCCTTTCTTGGGAGTAAGACTGGGAATTACTTGACTCCTTTCACTTGGGGTAAAGATACTACACATCCAGAAAGCGTCAAATTACCAAAGAACCATGGCCTCAGTGTTTAAGGCACTAATGACCCTCATCGCAGCTGCTTTGCTCTCAGCTACGACCACCTAAGAAAAAAGGAGCCAACAAAGCCACATCATCTTCAAAAAGCAGAGCTGATATTCTAAGACCTCCAAGCTGGAAACCCTACTCCCCCATCTGTGCCTTGAGATCCTGTCAATAAAGGTAACAAACAGGATTGGTGAGGGCCAACCCTTGCGGAGGCCAACATGCACCACGAATCCATTCACAAACCTTCATGCACCCCCTAGAAACTCAGCCAGGGTGCAAAGCTACTCCATTGTACCACGGCCAGGATAGAATTGGCGTTGTTCCTCCTATATCCAAAGTTCAACGATTACTACAAGCCTCTTGTCTGGCACCCTGGATTTAAGTTTTCTCAGGCTAAGCAGTGCTTACCCAGATAGTCGGCCACTGGTTCCCCTTTTTAAAGACAAGAGCCACCACCATGGTCTGCAATTCCATGGGCACTGTCCCAGACTACCAGACAGCCCAACAATGTCCAGAGTCTTGAGCATCCCAGGGCAGATCTTGTTTTAGAGCCTTGCCACTGAGGAGCTTTTTGAGCTAAGCAGATAATTCTGGTTTGATGCTTATCTGAAGAACCAAAAGTGACTATTATCCATACAGTATTAATGTTTGGATGATGCACCAGAGCTCATACCTACGCCTTTGGTTTAGTATCATCACAGTGGTTGTGACTATTTGACAACATATTTGGGAGGAATCTGTTCATACACTCATGAGAGCAGCATCAGTCCAAAAATTGGGAAATTTTACCAATGATCAAGTGATATAACCCAAGCTCCCATATTTCAGGACACCTGTGTAGTGCTTATGTTGTAGGTACCTTTCCCAGCAGCTCATGGAGTCCGAGGACCTGAGCTGTGAAGACTCCAAGACAAATGTGAATACTGGGAACAAGGCCTAGAAAGCCTCTGAGGTTTTTGGGGGCAATCTCACCGAGGTACATGGGCACCACACTGAGAGAAATACCTGTATGGAAAGAAATGAAAGATTACTGTGAGCAGAGATAAGTACAGACACAGAAGCGGTTTTCATTTGAAGTACATGTTGCAATCAAAAAACTTAAGTAATGCTTCTTAAGAGTGAACACATTGTAAGTATAAGAAGCTTAATATTTTAATATTTTACAGTGAGTAAAAATCCACATAATATGAAAAATAATTGTTTTTGGAATTGAAAAACAATTACCAAACAAAATGTAGATGAAATAAGCTCTTTTGTAATAAAGACTTTCTATGATTACATAACTGCAACAACAACTTAAACACGTGAAACAGCTCTTGCAGCTCTGCATCCAGCCACAGACAAACCAAATTATTGGCTTGAAATTTGTTTTTAGTTTCAAGTCCGTAACTCTTCAAACAGGCAGACTTACCTGAGTGTACACCTGTGATGAAGCGTCCAAAAATGACCATGGCGGGCATCCTGCACCCTCTGCTAAAGCCCATCATAAGGGCTCCAATAAAGACCAGCACAGAGGATCTAACCAGTGTCCCTTTCCTGTTGAGACACATCGTGATCCTTCATTACTCCATCTCCCCAAACAACGCCATGTTTGTAACGCTCAGAAGCACTTTTGCAATCCTGTGTTGAGAGTTAACATTCACTCTCACCTTCCATATTTGGTGACAAGTCTTCCCACCAACAGAGCCCCACACATCCCACCAATAGCAAAGATGGACACAGTGACAGAGTACAAGAGAGTCAAGATCTCCTCGTCTGGAGCCCAGTCATAAATTTCCACCAGCGTCTCATTGTAGAACTCTTTGATGTACTGGAGGAGAAAAGCATGAATCCAGGTTAGTTAACACTAAAATATTTATGTCCAGCATTTAAAAAACAAACAAACTGACCCAAATAAAGAAGACTGCACCTTTGAAACTAACAGCAAAGTGCTATAATGATTAAGGATGTCTAAAATTTGAAGTCCTGTACCGAAGTTCGCAGACAAGAACGAGGCCTGAAATTTGATTAAACGTTCAACTACCCCCCTCAGCATAGTGGAATTTCCACAGTGTCTAGCAAACAGGAGGCTGCACTGGAGGATGAACTGAAGGGGGGATTTAAGAGACATCCATGGCAGCCATGGTCATGTGATTTTTTTAAGGATGACAGAAAGTTAGTGTATCCCCACCAGTCAAAGTTAAACAGATTTTTGACATTAAAGCAATCAAAAACTGAATACTTGACAAAATTATAGTGATTATTTAATACAAGGACCAACAACACCAAGAGATTTACACCAAATCCAGAGAGAGAAAGTCTGTCACATTTAACTCAGTTATGGCCGAAAAGTTCAAGAGTTCAAGTCTCTTATGGTTGAGATGATATGAAAGGGTGGTCGGTCCTAAGACCAGACTAAGTGGTTGTATATCAGCCCAGCAACAAAAGGAGGGAAAAAAGTAAAATGGTAAAGAACTCTTTGTCATTCTTGGTACAAATTGGACACATCCTGTTCGTTATTATTAAAGCTGCTGTTTCAAAGTGGAGGCCATCGATAAAACATGCCACCAAGACAAAGGTGAATACCTGATGCTGGTAATAATACAACACTCAGCTACTTTGGCTTTCATTGACTTTTCCCTACATAGTTCTGGCCATTCAGATAAGTCAGGTTGCTGAAAACAAGTTTTGGGGGTAATACTGATAGTAACAGTGGAAAACATGAGTAAAATTAACATCAAAATGCTTTAGATTCAGCAATATAGGCATAAAATACCCCTAGTATCCAAAACAATCTCACAAAGAATAGTTCAGAAATCTGCTGTTTTTCTAAATGAATGAGAAAATTACCTCAGAATTATGTGAAACTCTACAGATAAAAAATCTTTTGCCTTGTTTTACTGATTGAGTCTGCAAACCTTTATTTTAAAAGGTCTGAAAGTGAGAAAGAAAACACCGACTTGGTATGAGACGCAGCTTTTCTGCCCACTCAAATCAGGTCAAAGGATCTTAAGGTGTCCTATAAAAACCCCTTGAACCATTTTCTCTACGCTCACAGCCAGCTGACCTCCCTTCACACCTAAAATCTGATTTAGAGCCCATTTTGATAACTGATGTCAGATGACACACAGTAGTCAGCTTTATGTCCTACAAAAGGTCACATGTATAAAGGATTCACCTCACCACATTAGAGACCATCTGGAAATGTGTGAGACTGGGCTATTGTCCATAATTGAACTTTTCGGTGGTTTGAAACAACTTTTTAAAAATGCCACACCATTAAGGTTGAAATTAGTCAGAGTAGTAGGCTACAATTTAGGCTAACCCATGAGAATACTGACTTACATTAGAAGCATGATGATATGCCTGGATAAGAATTTTACATTTTCAGCTGTTGCCAAAAATATTCCATACAAATTCGAAAGATGACGATACAGGTAACACAAAAAGTTTCTGCTGCCATGGCAGTCTAAAAAGTTCCTGTAGACCTACGGCTGGATGTAAAATAAGAAGATTAACACCAGCGATATCTGTCTGAAATGATGATACTGTTGGGAGATTGGTTAGCTTGGTGGTGGGAGCAGAGGCTTAACAAAGCCAGGAAACGACTGTAGAGTGTGGTTAGCCTTTGAAAAAGATTTCAAAGTCATTTTTGCATTTCAGTGTGTTCAAATTAAATGCAAGAGATTATACACAAGCTTTGAAGGTGTATGTTTAAAGTTGAACTTAACTCCTTGGGGTACCTTTGTGTTGAATGCTCAGACATCAGTGTTTATTTTCTGTATAACTTTTCCACAGAAACATAATTGCATGAGTTTGTCTTACTTTTTAAGCCACGTATCAAATTTTAAAGAGTTTCATGTTCTTTGAATCAAAAGCAACTGTCTTCACCGTCCTAAATAGAGTTTGATGAGTGGGATTCAAACAAATTCAAAAGGGATCCATCATGTTTGGAGTGAACCCAAAGCAGCAGGGTTCACCCTCCCCACGCAACTCTGTCCTGAGAAACACGAGGCGACACCTATGAGATGGAGAGCTGTTGCTAACGTGCTTCAGTGTGGGATGGCCCATGGCTAACAGGAATGGTTTTACAGTTCAGTCACAGCACCAGGGCGAATCATCAAATCATCTTATCAGCATAGGAACTGAACATTGAGCACATGATGGATAAAATTCAAGATTATCAATAACATGGCGAGACACACAGAAGCCTCGAAATTTGACACACAAACTCACATGATTTCACGTGACCATAAAAGACAACCAGACCTTTACTCTCTCTACTGACACCCAGAACTCACCTATGAGGAGAACCCCTTCAGATAAAGCAAGAATCATTTACCCTGGCAAGAGTCAGAGCGTTTTAGACAGTATTGTAATTAAGGCCGCAGCATTGACATGATGATCTTCAGTGTTACTTAAGCAGATGTATCACAAACCTGTGCTGGAGAGTTGACGACTGCCAAATTGTAGCCGTAGAGCATGGAGCTTCCAAACGAAGCCAGAAAAGCCACTGCCAGCAGTGACCTTGTTAGATACTGGAGAAAACATAGAAAAGAATGTAAAAAAAACACTCAAAGCAAAGCGAAACTGTACACACAAAAGTCAACATTTACAGAGATTTTCACATTATTATTGTGATGTTTTTGAAAACTTCAATCTGAGGAAATGCACAAGGGTGGAACAATAGCTGAAAATTCATTAGTACACTTAAAAGGCACTTGTTTTTGGATTCACAATCAATCTTCAAATTTCAGATTTTAAAAGTGTCTATGGTCTTTCATAGGGCTGCTACAGCTACATCACTAGCAGCTGCTGCTTTGTCTTTGTCACTTCTCTGTTGTAGGATGTGTGGCAACCAATATACAGAACCACCACTGTAACATCACTGTATTACTGTGTACTAATTTTTAGCGTAATATCAATATTTTGTCATTTTCTTTTTCTTTTTGGTGGTTATTAAAGTACTGGTATATTGTGAAGGCCCAAGTTTTAACTTAGCCTAACATGTTACTTTACAATGCCAACTTTTAAAAAACATGTCTTGTATGATTCAAACACAGCTGCAGTGTAAGCAAATACCTTTAATGTACGCAAACACAGTAAGCAGCTTTATAGTCAAAAGTCCTGTTTCAAAGTTTAAGGCTATGGGATTAATATAAATGAAGGTCTCTTGTTTTTATATATATATATATTTTTAAACATTTAAGTTAAAAAATCCTTCAAAACTTCATGAAACAGGCATTGCAGACAACTTAGTGAACAAATTAGCTCCATATGCACCAAGATTAATCGGCATCGTTATTGGTGAATTTGTTGCCTTTGAGCTGTGTATTGTCCAGTAGAGCTGAACTGGGGAAAAGTAGCACATGATTTAATCAGAAGATGTGAAACAAACCAGCTTTTGGATTCAGGGCCTGTTTACTGTGCCACGTAGCTTTGGATTAGGCTCTTTGAAAAGACTGAAAAGAATCTAATTGGCAGATTTAGTGAGAAACTGGACTTGCAGTTAAAAAAAGTCATTTAAAAATAATGTTTGCATGAGACAATCAAGGTATGTACCACCAAAAGTGACTATTTCTGGAGGAAATGATTTCAAGCCATCCTCTTTGCTCAAAGTCTAAATTTGGGCGCACTAATTGACCTCTGAGGTAGGATGTCAATGAGATTACAATCTATTTTTAAACAGAGAAAAAGTGGTAGCCTCAAAATTGATCGTAATACAACACTGCACATTACCACACCAATTTTTTTTCTGGGCTTCATGAGCAAAAATAAGTGTTTTAAAAATCTCCTCAGGGAGCCAAAGGACCCCTTCAACATGCAGGATGTTGGTGTCACAGAGAGCACCCAGAGGAGGAGGTGGAGGATGTCTCTGCCCTGACTGAACAATAACTGCATAGATGCTCCAAAGAGACCCAATTTGATCTGTTATAGCCTATTAGAAACAGTTAGAGAACTACTCGTGAAAGAAGCTTACAGAAGACAATGGTGCCCAGTCTGCATTTATTTCGGTCCATTATCACATGTGCAGCTCCTCTCATGTTGCATGACTTTAGCCGGAGCTTTAAGAAACTATGTTTGACAAGTTTTGGATTTTTCTCTTGCTTTTTTGTGTGACTTTTATTAAGATATCAAGCCGATTAGGATTAATACTGGCGCCGTGGTGAAATCTCACTGCAAGAGTGTAAACCAGTTCACAAATTTATATGCAGCATCTGGTCTGACATGTGATCCTGACCTTGATGCGGACGTTCTTGTATGAAAGCTGCCTGATATTACTGTACTCATTAATCTGCACCAAAGACAATGATGGTTTAAATTCAGTACCAGACCACAGTGATTGCAAAAGGAAAATAAATAAATAAATAAATAAAGTGCGCAGAGAGAGATGAAGTTCAGTATTAATCTCGGCTACATTAAAAATATCTGCTCCCAGATCAGAACTCACCGAGCTGAGCTTTTGAGGTTTCTCCACTAACAGGTCCTCCTCCGCCATTAATGTCATGAGAAATTACTTCCCTCTGTGCTCGGTTCGTCTGGGATAAGAAATAGGTCATCCACAACTTTTCTCACAACTCAAACCGCTCAGCATCTCCATTTGTAGTTTTTGGGCACGCGCGTGCGAAGGGGAGGAGTAGTGTTGATGGGTGGAATAAACGGGCTTTTCCAGCTCCCAGCCACCAATCAGCGCAGAGCAAAGCGGATGGGATCAACTCCTACCGTGGATGGTTTACGCCGGTCGATTAACTCAATCTCTAATCTCACGGGCCAAGTGGGCTCACCTCGCATCCCGGTGTGCTCGCAGTTTTTGTGCAACAGCGTAGACTCAACAACATCCAGGGGTGGCGTGGAGATTTGCTGAGATTGGGGGCTTTGCTCTGTGAGGGGCACCTTGTAATCCAAGCAAGACAACAGAAAATGGCAAAAATTGTATTTTTCCTAATTCATTCCTCCTAATTCAGAGGGTTTCCTGTCAGATGTACCATATGGTTTTTTAAGAGCCTCTTTTGAACCCAACTACTGCCAAACAAATTTTAATCAGTTACCTCTACTCAAACTTTAGATGGAGCCCTTATAGTGCCACTTGCTATACTCATGTGGGGAACTTATGTAGAATGCAGGCATGAAAAAATCAGATCCTTTCAGACTGAGACAGAACTCTACGGAGCCCCCCAGGTGCCAGGTGAAGGGAACAATGCGTGGATCCATGCCCACGAATTAACAAACAATACCCAAGGATTACAAACTTTACTCATGGATTAACAAATGGTGCGCGGGGATTACAAATTTGTACCCATGGTTTGGCCATCATGATGTCATTCTTCATATTACAATAACCAGATCAAATCCACGGCAACTAGTGTTAATGCTTGCATGATACAGCAAATCATTAGCAATGTTATTACCATAACGACAATGACAAAATTCATGGAATCGAGCTTGTATATTTAGTGTTAATGATGTTCCTTTCAGTTAAATTCATCATATCTAAAGCAAACGTGGCAGACTGTTGTCTCTCGACAGATGATACAGCCAGGTAAACCTTATCTGTGGATGACAGTGACCACTGATTGGGATCAACTCTAAACTGATTTCCCCATGCACTTATTGGATGTGGTTGCCATGGCAATGATTGGTCATTCTAAATTATGTAGAATGGCATCATTATTGCAAATCGGTGAGTAATACGCCCACAGATTTGACTGCTGAAAGTGCCTCCACAGCAAGGGCTTTCCTATTAGCCTACTTGCAGGTTAAATTAACAGTCAACAGTCTGTTTAAAGTGGTTGGGGGTAAAGTGTCTTCTGAGGTTTTCACATCACTGAAAAATTGGGTTATTGACCACCCAGAAAAATCTGAATGATAAAACTTGTGGCGTACTGGCTCAGTGCACCGAGGCCATGCCCAATAACCATCAGGAGACTGATTTCAGATCAAATGTGAGGAATGTAGAGACAATTCAAAATTGTTTTTCAGTCTTTATTGTAGCATCAGTGCCGGCGTTTCCCTGTCTTTAATTTCATCTGCCTTCTTACAAGATGTTGCTTCAGTTCATCACAGAAGAAAACAAAACAGGTTTCAACAGATCACAGTTTTTCTGTTGGTTACATATCATATTGGAGCGGCACTCTAGGTATGTGACCTTCTTTGTTTGCTCTTATTTGAAGTCCATCCATCTTAGCTGCAGTGCAAGTGTGGCCTAGCCAAAGACAGGCAATGTGGGAACCCAGACATCGAACCCAGAAAGTGTGGGAGGTGTAGAGCCAGTTAGCAACACAGCAGTCAGTTTTCAGCAGGCCTCACACTAGGGTTGAAGATGTCTTGCCACCACTGCATTGTGTTTTTATGCCTGAACACAGGAGGTCTTTGAAGGACAGCTGGGTAACCAAGTGTTTGTTGAGTGCCAGTGTCTCAGAGATCCCACCAGGGTAGAGACCTGCATTTGTTTGTTAGAGATCTGCTCTCACTAGGCCTGTATGTATCTAGTTTACTTCTCTATTTGTTGGGTTAATATTAAACACTGAGGTTGACTATTAGTAGCGCCTATGGCTCTCAAGGCAGACTGGCACAAGCACTGTGTGAGTACATCAGTGTGTGTGTTTGTGTTTACAATGCTGAAACTGGACTGCTAGATCTTGACTAATGTGGAAAGTGGATCTCGATGATAAAAAGGTTGGACACCCCTGATCGAGGTGAACAGTCAGAAAACGTATTAAGTGACAGCAAAACGTATGCTCTAGCAAAGATTCTCTGACTGTATCAGGTGTGAAACCTGGAGATGGAGAAGCTCTACTTTTCATACCATCAGAATGTAAGGGGTGGGGTTATGTGCAGGGGGCTTCAATGCCTCCTTGTCAACCCTGCCAACAAATCCTGAACATGAAATGATGAACATTTGCATAACTTTGTCACTTGTATCATTTTAAAATTTTTGTTTGAACATCTCATGCTGTCTATCTTCTTTTCTCTGCCAGTGACTGGTAAGACATCAGCCGGGTATGTTTGGTGATGCCTCTGGACTCACTAACATTGCCTCAGTTTGCCAGTTTCAGTAGAAAGTTTATCAGAAGTTCTGTCTCTATGGCTTTGGGGACACATCTCTCCTTTGAGGCCTTTTTGTTGACTCCCCAGGCTAGAGTTGCTTTTCAGAAACGCAAACACAGCCCCTCTTCAGCTCTGAGCTCAGTGTTGTTGTACCTTGCATGGACTGGACTGATCATACAAACCCTGACTATCTGAAGATGACAGTAGTCAGTGTGGGATGCATTTGACCCTCTGCACGTGCTTTTGTGATTTGACTGTATTTTTGGTGGCATTAGCTCAGGTTAAGCAGGCACTACAGTCATGTAATCCTGTGTTGAATTAAGCCCAAAGAGCAAAGACAAACACGTGGAACATTGGCTTTTCTGCAAAAAAAAAAAACCACAAAACTCTACAGTCCAATTGTCCTACTGAGCTGCTTAATAGGAGCTGGAGAGTAGCCTGCGCCGTCTTGCCTCCAGAAATGCCAACACCTGAAGCCAACAGTTAATCTGGATGTAATATTCCAAGTATCACACAACTTCTTGCCATGTTCTTTTTCTGGACTTTCTCTGTAACCCTGATTATGAGGAGGGAAGTTATCGTGCCTTCAGCCTTGGCTGTGGTCGGCTTCTGTCACCCTTCTTTGTTATTCAGAACCATGCAAGACAGCAGCTGACCATTGCTGAGCGCCAATTCTATATGTGGAGTCTTGAAAGCTTGCCTCTGGCTTCATTGGGTGTTATGTATTTTATAGATGATTAATCCAGTGGCTGCTAAACACCCAAGTGTTGTAAGAGTTCATCTCATATTTCATACGAGCCACCATCAAAAGCTTTCATCCCGAAAGACAAATCTTGTAAAAGTGAAGCTAAGACGATGGGGTTTTATTCGGTTTATTCTAGTTAAGCAGTTTATTCTACTCGGTCCATAATTAAATAATAATAGTAATAATAACAGACGTCTCTACCCGCTCTATCATGTTTGGACTATGGTTATGATCACGTGTACCAAGGCTTGGTTTCACAATAATAATCCGAACCCGACACACTTCAACAGAAGAGAAGCCAAACACAGTTAAAGCTGGGTGCTTATGTAAACTGTGACAAGGGATCACAAAACCATAATGGCTTGTGTAAAAATATGAATGTCTGGGAACCATGGATGTATCATGGATCTTAAGTAGGGACTTTGAGGTGGGCCAGCATGTCTGTGGCTCTTGGCTGTGAAAAGGAAATAGTTTGAAGATTAGTGGCCCGTGATCTGTTGCAAGGTCAGAGAAAACCTCAGTTTGTCTTGATTTAGCTCCGGTTTGGGGACTTAGCTGAGGGTTACAGCTCAGTCTTTTGTGTGTTTACAGAGCTTATAATGTGGATTCTTAACAAAACTGAAGCTCTGCAGCACCTCCAAACTATCACATGATTGTTCAGTCTGCACTCCTATCTGGTCACATCTTCAAACACTTTAGTCACAGTCTATTTTCCTTTACTTTGACTCTCACACAGCAACTTTTCAGTTTTGTGCTGCTTTTGCCCTCTCCATTAAATGAAAACTACTAGTCCATTCAACCACACCTCCCCGCCGTCATGAACGGCTTTTAAATGAAACACTTAACCTGACCAATCAAATTCAAACCCGTTAAACCATATCAACACTTTACGACAAGCCTCTCTCTGTCATATGACTTACACCACTGAAATTATCCCCACTATCATGCTGCTCTTGGGTAGAAAATCACTTACACCAAAACCAAAGGAAGACACTTTTGAAGGATGAGATCCAAATTTTTGGCCTTAAAGTGTAAAGAACAAATTGCCGGTTTGTCATGCCGGATTAAAGTTCATTTCATGGGCGTACTCAGATAACCCCTCAAGGGAAAAGACATCTATACCTACTACCAGACCTAAAAGTTTGAGTAAAACGTCTTACTTTGATCAAATGAGACCATTTCTCTTCTGTTTTCAATCAGTTAAAGCAGCTACAAAGAGAAAAGTCTAACATACTCCACATCTCATTTATTTTATAGCAGTACTGTGCTTTATTCCTTCTAACTGCATAATTCGGTTTTTATGTTCATTTAGGGACAGAAGAAGCTGTAAACACAATATTATTATCCATACAAAGTTGTTGTTGGTAGCAACACTTACTGCAACACGTGTCAAGTGTAAAGCTCACTCTTTTTAAGCTCTGCTGTGTGAAAAATCGTGCATTTTAGCTGTTAAATGCTCCACCGATGCATTAACATGGCCTCTGTCCAAAGAGGTATGTTAACTGATTTGTGAAGGAGCAAAGTGGGTCAGGAGACTTTGAGGATGTGAGTGGACTCCGTAGACCTGTGGCCTCAAAAGCTCGATCTCCACGTCTTCAGAGAGTGCGGCTCAGACAGCAGTGAACATGAAGGAGCGAGTCTACAGGTGACACTGTGTTAGCTTAGACGATTGTTGTGGTCTCTGAATCTGAGAGGAATAAACAAGATGACATCTCAGACTCACGTCCAGCTTGAGTCCTGATTTTGAGGACTTGGACTCTGACTCAAACACTGACTGCATGGAATGTAGAGAGCAGGACTTTGATTTCTCAAATATATACATACAGTTTTCTTGGGTTTGTTTCCTTTCCTGGGCTGGAATATGTGTTCAGGTCCAGTGTCAAAAATGAGATATATTTAGATATTTGTTTAAGTTTATACTGTGAGTAGTTTGTAGTAAAACAGTAGTTCTCCTAAAAAATCCTCAGATAATGAGGACATAACTCAGATTCTTCGCTGGTGACTCAGACTCAAGTCAGACAATTGTTCGTTGACTCAACTACAACACTGATTCAGACCCGTATTTAAAGACCCACTCCGATGAAAATCCTGTTTTTCTTGTTTTTTACATGCCCATATGGCACTTACTGCAGGACATATCATGGGAAAATAAGTGTGAAATTGCATTTCTGAGTATTTCTGCATTTAAATCACTGTGAATCTCTGGCAGACCCAAACAGCAGACTCAGACACAGTGGGATTTCCTACATCACAAATCCAAGCTCCTCCCCCTGAGCTATGCAGGCCAGACTCAGAGAAGTAGAGAGGATGATGGCGGAACAAGCGTGTGCGGTAGCAGATTGCAGTGCCAGTAAGAAAGATAATTATGATATTAACTTTCATCATGCTCCTAAGGATATTAGTGTCTGAGAGCTGAATAGCTCCTATTCTACCTGCTTCTTCTACTACACCAGCAATTTTAGGCTGCAAGCTAGCATGCAGAGACGAGTGTACAGAGCAGCACTGTCTCCACCCACAACTCAGAGGCAAATAGCTAATGAGCTACTGGAGCTCTACAGAAGAAAAGTCCTTAAAAATGACATGGGTAACATGATTTTGACTAAAAACTCCGTAATCACAATTTAAAGACCACTGAGAACACTTTAGGAGTGAAAAAAAAGAACGGAGTGGGACTTCTGGAGATGCCCCCTGTGAAAACTGAGTATTTAAGACTGGTTTTGTGCAACAGGGAGATAGTGAATCACTGTACTGTTGCAATGTGAGAAAATCTGTAAGAACCCAGAAGATGGTCTTGTAGCAGCTTGAGAAACTTCAGAATAACATTTGAGTTCAACGGCTATATTTCAAGGTAGTGATACTGTTACTAAATGATATAAATGTTGTTATTTAAGCTGTATCATGAACAAATCTACATTCGTGTTATTGATACACAAATCTGTGTAAATTGACTCTGTGATCAGGAGGCAGTTATTGGTCAGTGTGGTGAGTTTGATGCTGGAGAGAAACAGGGTAACATGAATTTGGCTAAATTATTGAAGTGTTTATTTTTGTGATTGAAAAGTAAACCAAAGTTTATAGAGAATAAGTAATTCAAACACAGCAGTGGATATATTTGTGCGTGCTTTATCAGAAGTGTTTGTCGACACCTCCTCACCCAACCTCAGGTGACTGGACTAGTCAATTCACTGATTCTCCCTGAGAGAGATAATGTTGGTAGCTGCTTAACGTTTAAATGATGAAGGTTGGGGTTCTTTAAAATCATTCAGATGAGGAGCCAACTATTATGCTAGATAAATGATCTGCTGTTAATAGACTGTGTTTATATTCTGTCTCATCTGCCCTTTGACCACTCGGGGTCCTCTTTACATCAGCGAATATGAGTTCAGATCAAACTTTATCCCAGAGTGGGGAAATCTGTAGTGTTTACAGCAGCAAAGAATCAGAGATGTGGATTTGAGATCTCATTGGGTGTTAAAAAAGTAAAGTTGTTTCATTTGCATATAATGAAATGCTGATCTAAACTTGTTGATAATCTAGTCTGCACTAAATTCTACTTTTGTCCCTCATATATGTGAATTCAATGGGTTTTTTTTTCTCACCAAATACCCCCCTCCTTTTAGAGATACAGAGATGCTCTTGTGACTGTGGGTGGTAGGTGGTTATTTATTTCTCAGCATAACTCACATGTCCTTACAAAAATTCCCCACAACATGGACATCCAATATCCTCATCTTCCCTTTTAATGGTTCTCCCAACCCTCCATCCTCAGTCGCTGTATCTGCTCATTAAAGTCATGATAGAGGGAAACCTGGGAGAGACTCCTGTGTTTGCCAATCTGACTCTATGAAAAGAAATGAACGACTTACTGGCGTAATTTACAACAGGGACATCTCATGATCATAATGAGGATCTGGAACTACATGATTTAATTTCCTCTCAACAGTGAATGAGATGTCATTTGATAAATTACCCATCAGTAGTAG